TCTAGAGCGAACTCCCTGCAGTTGCTCCACAGCGTCTCCTCAGAGACCGCACTGTTGTGCCCTCAGATCGGGGCCGCTCTGCTCCCCCGGCCCAGTCTCCTGTGTGCATGTGCGAGCTACTGAGTTTTGTTTTGGTGGGAATTTTGTTAAAGCAAATGTGAATATGAGAGATGGCATATTGGACTTCTAATGGAAAAACTGCTCTATAAATCCATAGTAGTGGTAATGCTGGCTTTTTTCCCCTTTGCCATCATATTAATAGTTCCTAATATTTAATGTTCATATTACCTGTTACCAGTAAATATTTCTCTGTAACTGACAGGGAGTTTAAGAGGTTAATTAGCCTTTTGTATCACTGGTTAATGTGTGTACTATAACTATTTGGTCATTAGTTTTGTTTATTTCAAGATTAGAGTGTTAAGACTATTTCCAGTGTTAGTTGTGGTCTGTTTTTATTTTCTGAGACATCTGTGAATGATATATGTCCTAAAAGTAGTTCTTGTTTTCCAAAACATGTATTAATACAGGTCTGTCTGTTACTTTTGATGGAAAAAGAGAAGATTACTTTCCTGATCTAATGAAATGGGCCTCTGAAAATGGGGCTTCTGTCGAGGGTTTTGAAATGGTCAACTTCAAAGAAGAGGGCTTTGGTTTGAGAGCAACAAGGGATATCAAGGTGAGTTTATAAAATGCTGTGTCAGGGGCCTACACGTGTGTGAACCATGGTGTGGTGGAGAGGGCACACGGCACGGAGGCAGCTGCCGTGGGCTCTTCTGAGCCCAAAGAGCCGCAGGCCATGTCCTCTCCCAGCTCCTCCTCCTGGGAGCCCTGCCTTTAACCTGTCACGTGAGGCAAGCCAGCTCACAATTCTGAGCCTCTGTTAGGAGACTATGGAACGTGCCTCACGGGATTTGGAAATTTAGCTTAAAAGGATGTGCACTTATGGTTTGGAGGGAGAGCTCGCAGGATCCTGTGATGGCTTGGAGGTGGGCTGGGTGGAGGACGGGCTGTGTGAGGGTGCTTACATGGGTAGCTGCCTGGCTGGAGGCACCATGTGCTCCCTCGGGGACGCGAAATAGACCTCTGCTGAGGGAGAAAAGCTTTCCGCCTACTCTTGGTTCTTCCTTCCACATGAAGGGAGCAGCAGTAACTTAACATTCCTGGCCTCTCTGTACCCTCATTCATGCCTCTTCTCAAGAGGTGGCATAATTTAATCTGCTTGCCGAGTTTGGGAGAAGGAACTGGGCTTAGCTTTTTTTCTTGGTGGCAGCTGGTTGCCCATACGCATTTATTCCTCTCCACTCTCTGCACCCCGTAGGCTTTACAGGGTAGGCCCACACGAGGGGAGGGCTGTGGGGATCTAGTTCTGCCTGTAACTAGGTGGGGGAGTCTGTCTAATTCTGGGATTCAGTAGGTGATATTTTGGATGACCATCTGTTGTATTCTTGTCTTTCTCTCAGTTGGTTCAGAACTTGGGTGGAGTAAGTGAGTGTTAGATGTTTGGGTCCCTCAAACTTTGAGCAACATTTTTGGTCAAGTTGTAGTTGACCTTTCATTGATACATTGATAACTACACACCAGTTTGTTAGATACCTGTTAAGTATCTGCTATGTGAATAGTACCTTGCTTGTTATTGCTCTAGGCTTCAAAAAAAAAACCAAAAAAACCCAGAGTCTATTCCTTTATCATTCTTATAATCTGTAGTAAGGGATATGGCACATAAAAATAATTCATATAGTAGACATTGGTGAAGGCAGGATGTCACATGTTCTTCTCTAATTTCAGGCATGAAGCATCATTAGTGGATTGCTTCCCAGAATATCTTAGCTGTGGTCTGTCTTCACCATGTGCTTTTTATGGAAAGGAGGTTGGGTTGGTACTTAAACAACGGACGTTTATTGCTTATAATTCTGGGAGCTGGAAAGTCCATGTTCAAAGTGCTAGCATGGTCTGGTTCCTCCTGGTTTGCAGATGGCGCCCTCTTGCTGTATCCTCACATCGTGGAGAGATATGTGAATGTTTTAAGCAGTATATGTACATAGAACATGCCAAAAAGAAGCATGTCATATTGCCAGAAAATGAGATAATGCTTTAAAAAAAATGAGTAAACCAAAGATTTTGCTGGTAACTGTTGTGTTTTAAAGACAAATATGTAGAGGAAGGAATGTTACTCTGGCTTCAAAAACTCAATGTAGGAGCAGTTCATGTTGACAGATTAGGGTTTTGGTTGGAGGTAGAAGTTTTATTTTGTTTTGGTGTTAGAAATTAAAAATAAGTACAGCAGAGAATAAAGCACCTTTGTGCTTGTCTGAAAATGTTATATTTGCTTCACGTTAAAGTTGAAAGTCCCTTTTTGACTTTTTACCTTCTTTTAGTATATGTAGATTTTCTAATGGAAATAGGATTTTAAACTATTCTTCTCATTTTGCTATAACATAAGTGCTTACGTTTTAAAATACATTGGGCATTTAGAAATGAAATGCTGATATGCAAACCTTAAATTGTATTTCATGTATGATTGGGTTTCTGACCATAGATATAGTTGGATTAAAGATTGTAACATGTTTTGATGATTTTACCATTTTCTTATTTTTTTCCCTAGGCAGAAGAATTATTTTTATGGGTTCCACGAAAATTACTAATGACTGTTGAATCTGCTAAAAATTCAGTGTTGGGTGAGAATAATTTCTGACTGTTTGTTCAAGGCAAAGTGCAAATGACAAAAATTTATAAAATTCCCTTTTGTGGGGCTAAGGACCCCATTTGGTTTTCTCAGCTGGTAAAATATTCCCTCAACTATGCATTAAACATTTTCCACTTAATGTCAAAAGAAAGATGCACATGAGTTTAAATGTTAAAAAACTTCTTAGCTTTTGTAAATAATTGTATTATATATTTTGAATGAATACTTTTTAAAGAAGTTTGTGGAACTTAAATGATGTTAATTTCTGGGTTGATTCAGGGCCCTTATATTCTCAAGACCGAATTCTGCAAGCCATGGGAAACATCGCGCTGGCCTTCCATTTGCTGTGTGAGCGAGCCAGCCCTAACTCCTTCTGGCAGCCCTACATCCAGAGCCTCCCCAGTGAATATGACACTCCTCTCTACTTTGAGGAAGATGAAGTTCGGTATCTTCAGTCAACACAAGCTATACATGATGTCTTCAGCCAGTATAAAAATACAGCTCGACAGTATGCCTATTTTTATAAAGTTATCCAGGTGAGCTGCTGTTTACTGTTTAAGTGTATGTTGAACAGGGTAGGGAAGAGAGAGGAATTGATTGCGTAAATGTTTAATTTGACATCTTAAAAGGACACAAACGTTTTGCCTTTTAAATTAAAAGATAATCAAGTACATTCCATTGTTTCCATTTTCACAGAAATACCACTGAAAGAGAGTTGTATATCTCATTTCATCAGTGTCAGTGTTGATACAAGCAGCAGTTATTCTTGAGTTATTGAAATCACTTAAGTTTTCTAAAACAAAAGATTACAATGAAAATTTGAAAGTGTAGCTAATACAAAAAGATAATCTCTCTGTAAATTTTCCAAGAAAATGAAAGTCCATTTCTGTTATTAAATGTATGTTAGTAGTAAAATATTGACAATTAATTTAGTAAATTTTAACATGATTTGTTTTTCAAAATATGTATTATATATTATTTTAATTAGTTCTAAGCAAAAGTCTTGTATAGAAATCTCTAAAAGGCTGTGAGCATTTAAACTACATGTGATTACACCTTTCTGTATTTTGGTGGTGCATTTGCAGTTGAACAGCAGTTAGAAGGTTTAGGGCCAGTGCCACAGTTCTTTCAGAGCTGAGGGGGGTGACTTTTCCTCCTCTCTCTCTTCTCAGTCATTCAAGAATCAGCCCCTGGGCTGCTGTACCTGGTATGTGGCAAGTGGGCATGTGAACTCCTTGTTCCCGTGCCCTTTTATTTGGGCTATTTGATACCCTGAATTAGGCTTGATTTGGTTGTTTCCTAAATGGTCTGTCCCTGGTGTGTTTTATTTGCTAGAGGTGGTAATCTCATTTCATTGCTGTGGCTAATATTGTTTTCCATTCATTATTTTCACTTTACAGCATGCTTACTGCACAAGAATATTGTACACAAACTTTTGCCTTTCTCCCCACCAAATGCTTCAAATATGTCAAAAATTATATGACTCTTGTCCTCAAGTAGAAATCACTTTGTTTTTCTAAACCTTAAACTTTAGGAAGTTATTAAGAATGATCATGCGCTATAGCTTTTATTTCAAGTTTGCTTGATTTAAAAACTGTTGATGGGGCCACATCAGAATTTGCCTTCTTCATTCAGTGTATGCCCACATGCCTGCAGTCTAAAGTTTGGTGTGGCTCTTCGTGCCCTAAAAGGGTTGTGCTTTTTATTCCTAGTTCTCAATTGTGTATCTTTCATGACTCAGGTAAAGCTGCCTTTAGCAGATGTAAGTCCTTGTCATTTTCTGTTGTTGCACAGTGAATTGCAAACTAGTCTTTTCACTACTGTGTGTCTCAAATCTGGACTGTGACTAGTGGGCAAACGCTGGTAGCCTGCCCTGAGAGGACTTGATTCTGCTGTCAGGTTGGGCAGTCTGGAAGGATCACAGGTCTTCTGGTAACTGTGTGGCATGGATGATCTTTGGATATTTCATTGTGCTCACTGGTCTGTTTATTTTAGTGTTAACTAAGTAATGCAGCTGTGCCTCAGAATTCAAGGAAATTTCCAATGGCCTTGAGCCACTGAAATACTTTCTTTATATAGATGGAGCTATTTCATGTCTGTTTGTTTAAGAGCAAGGTCTCTTCATAACCCTCTGAAATAAACGCTCTTAGATGATGCTAATGATCTAAGAAGACTGAATTATGCCATATCCTACAACTCAGCAATTAGAGAACATTCTAAAAGTAAACTCTTAATTCAGAAGTTTTTCCAAGGTAATAAAATTCCTACATGACTAATAACAATTTTATAACTTATAATGAATATAAATATATATATATTTTTGAAAGTTTTTAAGTCTATTAATCTTCTTGTGAAAAATCCAAACGATGGCGGCAGGTAACGTCACTGCAGAGTCTTTACTCCTTCGGCTTTTTGCCAGCACCAGCGTTGGCCTTTGCAGTCCCCCTGACTTTCTTCATTCTGTTCTTGCGTTCCTTTCGTTGCTTTCTTGATGTCTTTTTCTTCTCATACAGGCCATGCCTTGCAAGTCTATGTTTGGGTTCATTTTTCTTTGCGTAATCCAAGGAATTGTAAATCATGCCAAAGCCAGTTGTTTTGCCACCACCACAGTGAGTTCTGAATCCAAATACAAAGATGACATCTGGTGTGGTCTTGTACATTTTGGCTAGTTTTCCCCTAATTTCTGTCTTTGGTACTGTTGCCTTCCCAGGATGAAGGACATCGATGACCATTTGTTTCCTCTGAAGTAGTCGGTTGGTCATGAACTTCCTGGTCCGGATAGTTACTGTGTCGTTCATGATGGCGGTAGACCCTCAAGCAGCCAGGGAGGAAAAGAGCGAATATAAATATTTTTTAAAAAAACAACCACATTCTTAAAGTGTTAATGGACATATCTTTTTAAAGCAATTATTTATTTTTATTGAAAAATTTAGTTAGTCAATGTGGAACATGGTATATATAAATGTAAAATTACCAGGTAATCAAGTGTTTGCACAATTGATTTTTTTTTTTTTACAATAAGGCCAATCTGAGTATTTCAAAAAAATTATGATTTATAAACCAAACTGGATATTTTTCTGTCAGAAGTATCAAGAGAGAGAAAGATGTGTCTATGGTTAAATAAATAAATTCTCTTATTTTACACCACTGGTCCTCATTCAGTTAAAAGGCATTTAGCAATATTTGGAGACATTTTTAATTGTTGAATTGGAGTGGAGGATGCTACTGCCATCTAGGCTGGGGATAATGATAAACTTTTACAACATATAGGGCACCCCCAACAAAGGCATTTTCCAGCCCAAAACGTCAGTAATACTGGGGTTGAGAAACCCTGCTTTGTATTTATATACAGAACAAAGCACCTTAAAGCATTTTGAAAATCCCAATCCTTCCCTTCTAATGATTGGAAGCCTGGGGTCTGACTAACACTTGTTGTGAGGTTTTTACCTGTTTTGTCAGAAAGTCTCCTGAGCAGATCCCAGACCCTCCACAGACCCTCACAGCTGCATGCTGTGGTGACAACACCCTTTAGAGCACTTTTTTGCTTACTACCATTTGACACACATCCCTTCTTTTTAAAAACCTGCAAATACAAGACCAGGTTTGGAGATGTTTGACTTATGAAGGATTCAGATTCAGGGGAACAAACACTGGAAAAATGTAAACACAAGATTCGAGTTACTGTTAATAAAATCATGTAAATTTGGAGTCAGGAGTCATGTCAAGATCCTTGGCATTGTGTGCTGAAAGTGAACTATGTGTGGTTGGGTGTGCTCACTTCTCCATGTTAGCTGGGGGGTCTAATCAGGAAGAGGCATTTGAATGATGGGAGGGAGAGGCCCTGGCCCCTGAGCTGGGTGGTCTTGACTGAGTGTGGTCAGGAAGAGTTGAGCAGCACTGTCCAAGTGAGAGGCTTAGTGGCCACGTGGAAAGAGCATAAGCTTTGTAGTAAGACACACCTGAGCTGAAATACTGATTTCATATCTCACTTTATATCTATATGTCTATCTATCTATTTAAACTTTTTTTTTTTTTAGAGACAAGGTTTTGCTGTGTTGCCCAGGCTGGACTCCTGGGCTCAAGTGATCCTCTTGTCTCAGCCTCCCGAGTAGCTGGTTTACAGGTGCACACCACCATGCCTGCCTGGCAGTTGTTTTGTTTTTCATTGTTTTAGATTATTTTCTTCCCCATCCTTGTAATACCTATGCTGGTATTTCTTAACTGTTTCTACTGAAAAACTCCTGGTGGCCAAGAATAATGAGCGTTCCTGGAAGCCTAGGGACTAAGCCCAAGTGACCCATCACAAGCTGAAAATTGCATCCAAGACTCATGTTTTTGTTGTTGGTATTTGTACTCATGTTTTTAAATCTTAAAATTCTTGCAAAAAAGAATTCTTGCAAATATTAATATTTGCTGTACTTTTAAAATCATGTTAAATGACTTACCGTCAAGTCAGATTGGCAACCCTGCTTTCTCCTAAGACCTCAAGATATCTAACACTCCAGTGTGAGAAGCACAGCTTTAACCTGTAGTAAGTGCCATTAACCTGGGACAGTCAGTCCAAGTGTGGTTCTTTTTCAGGAGAAGAAAATGTGACAGTCCCTTAACATTGGCAAAAATAAGCAGCAGAAGAGTTCATTAGAAATTGAAAATACATAATAAATGAGCTTTTGTAGAACATTTCTTAACCAGTGATTTAAATTAAGTGCCTGCCCTCCCCAAAATAAATTAAGTTCCCATTGGCATAGGAACCGCAGGTGGCCTAGAATGAGATGTGCTGCTGTGGTAAGTAAAAGATAGTCTGTCGGGTGGCAAGGCTTTTGCATGAGGGTTCATGACCAGGAAAACCAGATTTAAGCGTAAGTTGTCTTATTAAAAAACGTCTTTTGAGTCTAGCTGTTTTTCTAGTTTTAGAATGTTCTCATCACTTCAGAAAGTCTTCAGTTGGGGGTACACACCTGTAGTCCCTACCAGCTATTACTACTCCGGAGGCCGAGGCAGGAGAATTGCTTGGGCCCAGAAACTGGAGGTTTCAATGAGCCATGATTGTGCCACTGCACTCCAGCCTGGGTGACAGAGCGAGACCCTGTTGAGACTATAAGACCAAACCACAGATCTTTCTCATGCTTTTGCAGGATCAAATGTTAGGACTTTGCTTCTTTTTGGTACGTCCCTTCATCAATGCATTGTCACCTGCGGGGAGAGAGAGTATTACTAAGTGGGTTCATATTTAACATTTCGTTACAGTGACTTGCCTTTGGTTTTTTTGTTTGTTTGTTTGTTTGTTTTTTGGTATTGAGGCTCTTAACCTTTTTCCAGGGTCATGGAACCCTCTCCCCAGAGAAACACACATGTATCACACATGTTTGCAGGTCATTTGGAGGGGTGGTCCAAATTCCACAACCCCATTTGCAGATTTTAGTTATGATTTCCTGGGATCCTGTACCAAACTTTGCATCTGAACTGAAACCTATTACTCTTCTGATTGACTGCTGGCTTGAAGGTCTGCAGGCCACAGGTCTCAGCCACTGTCTCCCAGTACGGCAGGGATGGTAGCAAGTACAGTTCAGTTCTGTGTATTTATGTGGTGATCCTAGTACTTGGGAGAGGGGCACAACAGAGTGTTGATATCCATTCAGACTTCCATCTTGCTTTGGGGTTTCAGGTTTTATTCTAAAAGCACCAGTACTAACTTGTAGTAATTATAAATTCCTTCAGGTGGATTTCTCTGCATTGCACTTTGAATGTTTTTCTCTCTCTATCTTTGGTTGTTGCTTAAAAACTAGAAAAATAATTTCTTATGCTCTCTCCTCCCAGCATATTCCTTAGTGAAGAGCCTTATAGTATGAGTACTTGTTAGTTCAGATTACCTTCTGTTTTTACCTTGTTTTACAGAGTCTGTTTAAAACAAAGTCTTTCTGGGCCTCATCTGTTGTACCAGGGGCTCAGGCTTTAGGATTTTTGAAAAGTCCTTCCAGTTTTTATATTGTATCCTTCTTGAGACATTCAATATACATTGTATCCTTTAGGTTTCAACAGATGATAGTATGTAACCAGAGGCTTCAAACTCCAGGAATTTTGAGAGTATACCTTGTATTAGGATACAGCACCTACTGGTGAAACATTATACTGCAGCTTAACAGTTGAGGAATGTTAATACCCAAACTCAAGAAGCTAAGTTTAGAAATTGTGGCTAAGTCAAATGCCGGGAGAGGCTTGTGTGAAGTGGGGCTACAATTTATGTCAATCTGTGAAAAGGGGGCCCAGGGAGAGAGGGCTAATGGTGCAAGGCAGAACTTGACATTTGAAACAGGTGAAGAGTTTTAAACCTGTAAAAATATCCTAACACAACAGAACATACTGAAGTTCAACTCCAAGTTCAGACTTTTTCATGGAAATGTATGACCAGCTTCATGATGGAAATCAGTGACAAAGTAGGATTTGGTTTAAACCCAACTCTGAAGTAGAGTGATTATGTGACAGGGGAGCAGATCCTGTCACTTTTTACTTACCTTGACATGGTTGGATAGTAGTCCGGATATTTTTCACATGTCAGTGAAAAAGAAATTACAGACCTTGTTAATGAACTGTTCATTTAATTGATAATCAGTCCCTTGTAACAGTTCAGGTGCTATAACCTGGGGTGCCAGCTTATCCTAAGATTAGGAGTTATCTTAGCGACATGCACATTTTCCTGTGTCGTTGAGACTGAATATTATGCTTTTGAAGTAAATGCAAGCATACAGGGTTTAACAGAATAGAGGCATATCTATTAAATTAATTACTACTGTTTTTCCATTGATGTCATAAGTGATTTGTCACACCTTACATGGATGTCCTGGTTTGCGTTGATCCAACAATTTCAAAGGTACAGGGAAAGATATGGAGATGGAGAAACTCACTGGTGTGTTAACTGCCATGAATTTTATCTCGAGGCAAGCACCCATTGCAGCAGCCTCCCACTTCTCCTGCCTTATGCTTCAGGATGGGGTAAGGCAGTTTTAAATTGGCTGTCTTCCTTGAACAGGCAGCTCCTCCTGCCTGGCCAGGGCTGGAGTGGCAGGAGAGACGAGCAGCCGTATTCACAACTCACTGTTGCTCCAGCCTGTCTCCGAAAATAGGGCCCGCCAAGAGGCAGAGGAAGATGTCACTTTTGGTTCTTGGATCCTGTGGCAGTTGTGGCTAAATACAAACAGTTGCTTCTCCCATTTCCCACTCTTCCACTTGTCTCTGACAGAGCCACAAGAACAGCACAAGATGTGAATTTCCAGAGATGTATTTAGCCTATGTTTTCGTAACGCTCAAATCTACATATAGAAATCTGGTAATGCATAAGGCCTTCAGGAATGTGCACCAAATTAGAGAAAAACCTCTGGGCATCAGCTTACTTTAAAGATCCCAATGTCCTGAAACTCATGGAAAAATATCCTCAGAATCTAAAGCTCTTTATAGACACAAATGCTCTGGCAATACTGTAAGGGAAAATATGCACGCGCATTTGTATAACTTTGTCTCCTTTAGTGGCAGAGGTTGTCCACATGTTGTATTCCAGTTGTCACTCTGAATCAGTGTGGGGTTGGCTCTTCTTTACCTTTTCTCACTGTTGGCTCCTTCCCTTCTGCTCAGAAAGCTGGTGAAGGGTCTTCATCCTAAACAAGCCAACCAGCTCCTTCTGACCTTGGACCTTCCTGTAGTTACTTCTCTGTCTTTTTTGTTCTTCATCCATTGTATCCTCTTAATTGTTTAATCAATTCAACTAATATTTACTGAGTGTCTCTTAAGTGTGAGGTATCACATTTGGGGATGGGGACTGATATCTCTGGGGATACATAGTTTTTTTAACTTTTAATTTTGAAATAATTTTAGACTTGTAAAAAAATTTCCAAAATAGTGCAC